TGAGCCGCTCGGCTGAGTTCGGGAGCTGTACGGGCTATTGTGAATAGCCCGTACAGCAGGTCCTGGGGCCGAAGCTAGCCGAAGGATTCCATAAGAAGTGTCATAGTTAATAATTAAAATTGTTAATTAATAATTAAAAGTGCCTGATAGCGAATTCTTTTCCATCAGACATCAGAAGAACTTCCAATGCAAGTGATATTCCATCACAATAAAAAGTTAATGTTTTACAGCTACCTGGCTACTTGTTGCACAACTCTATTTTCCACAGCAAGACAAATGTGTCCCAGTCTCCCTGCTAGACTGGGTCCCTCAATCACAAGGCTGGCCCTTAAAACTCAGACTAAGGTACAGACTAATGCGAATGCAAATGAACAGTTCTATTCAGATGGAGACTGCCTCTGACTCTTAATGGTGTACAACTTTTTTCATTCCTATCAGTCATCTGTATGTTCTGGTGCCTGTCTATTTAGGCCAGACAGGCCTGGACTGGTCCTTACGCATGTTGCCTTAACAGCAGCTGTCTTTACAGAGCCCTGACCAACTGCGGACTCTTCCCATTTGTTGACAACACCCGCCTGTCTCTAATTGGAATCCTGTTGTAATTATTCAGGAATGCTTTCACTGCCAAAACCAGCTATCCCCTTGTCGCTTATTGCATTTTAACAGTGACAGACAATGTTTCGAGCAATAATGAGTCCCAAAACATGCAAATGTTCACACGCCCCTCTGAGGAAGCCCCGATGTGGGGAGGAAACGCGTCAGGGTAACGTGTGCAAGCAACTTCCCTGGATACCCACAATTGATTGCTCACCCCGTATACAAGCCTGGGTAAGAGTATTACTCTGGCCTGTTTTCGAAGTGCGGGGACGGAGTACAGCCGGCTCGGATATGGTCTGAGTCAAGCTGCATTAGAACCTGCATCAACCCAGCAGAGACCGAGGGAAACGCGCGGGCGGCTGTCGGTGGTTTTCACACAGCCTTCGGATCCAAAACCGCGCTTGGGACACCACACCGTGGAGATTCCGTCACTTTCCTTTTGTTCACTTGGCGGCCGCACACATATGAAAGCGATCTCTGGATACCTCTCAAATTAGAAATTTTGGCCCACGGGCCAGTGAGAGTCCCTAGCAGGTGGAGAGAGAAGGGCACATACAGCTCCTGTCCCTATCAAAGAGATAAATCTCTGGAACCCTATTATTACTACTGGACACGCGTATTCAAGCACTAAACCCATACAATACTGTGGGATCCAAGCAGGACTGTCTCTCCCTGAGCTCCCTGAGCCACAACATTTGTGAGTAAGCTCGGATACATTGTATCCCTATGTGAAATACAATTTATGTATCTGCTTTAACGATCTTGTGCCACTCAGATGGCTTGCAGATTATCACTGTTATAGCTACATCAGTATATCCAAGGGAAGTCTTTTTAATTGGTTTTAAATGTTTTGTTGTGGGTGTATTTACATGTTGTTTTTCTACGATTAAATATTCATTTTCATTATTTATGTCTTACCTGTTTACTGAACCAGCTCCATCCAAGGGATTTCTATAATTAGGGGACAATCCGTTTTTGAATAGTTTGTTGAAACCCTGGAGATTGGTATATAATTATACTGTCTTGGCGTAACTCCTTTATGTTCCCCTATTTTTTGCACAAATGTTCAATTTTTACTTATTTATTTAATTAATAAATAATGCTTAACTGAGAATAATTACAGAAAATTTTGAAAAAAAAAAAGTTTTTTTTTACATTATGTTAGGAAACATACATGTTGCATGACGGAATAAACGTCAGTCAAAGGACTGCAGCGCTGAACACTGAAAAATGGCCTGGCCAGGAAGGGGGTCTAAACACCTGGTCTTGAAGTGGTTAATATTTGCTCTAGGTTGTGTATCAACACCTGCACGTGAAGTGTTTACTTCTTTGCACATCAATATTAGTAAGAATTAATAGCTTAGTCATAATGAGATAATGAATATAGAACTGTTATCATGTTAATTAATATGTTTGGATTGTACCATCAATTTCTTGTCCTCTTGGAAGTATGCATCTACAAACATCTTCCCAACAGCATACGGAAGTGCGTTTTCAATATAATTTACACATCTGTCCCATCGAGCTGCCAAAGAATTTGTTCCCATGAGAACCTGCATTATGAAGAAATTAGACATTTAATATTCCTACATGATTAAAGACTGTTTCTGAAGCTCTATGAAACATCATGTATATTTATAAAGATGAGCGTTGATATTTGTTTGTTGTAAAGATACATTACTCATTCTATTTTAAAGTGTATATCTGGGCAAAAAATATTCAGTATATCTCTACAATTCAAGCACAAGTTTTGTCTTTTTATAGCCCTACCTGTACAGAATAATGCCTTATGAATCCAGTGAGCTCCTAACTTCCTGTATTGAGCTGACAACTCTATCTCTCTGTAACTGAAATCCCAAACAGCATTTTCAGTCCTGCCCGAGTTCTCATCTGCTGCAGTACAGAACACCTCCACTTCACAGAACTCAAGACAGGTTCACAACACTGCTTGGCATTTCAATGGACCAGAAGCAGTGCTGTCAGCTACAGCAGAAATTAAGAAGCTCAATAGATTCATGATAGAATCAATAAGTATTTTCTGTTATTCAGTGTTTTAAACAAGACAAAACACAGGGAATGTGCTGCATGTGTTTTGTTACACACATATACTCTTAAAGGCAACCAAGACGTTTTCCTAAATTAATAAAAAACATGTAAGCAGTCTATGGTTGAGTCAAGCCTAAATTGGCAATCTGTTAAAGTAGGCAGCTCTGTTTTAATAAACTTCTAATACCAACTTCATCCCAGTAGTGCCATTACATTAGGATAATGGCTGTGGTAGACTTTGCAAAAGTTGGACCACATGCAACAATGTATGTATGAGCCAAGAGGGCTGCAGAAATGGTAAAACCCCCCAAAAAACTAGCAATCAACATACAAACATTCATAACAATGAAGGTAAGCATATGTAATGATTATACACCTAATAGTCATTTATTTTCTTATACCATCTAATATACTACTAATATACAGCATTTCTGCTCTGTACCTAATAAGACAGGTTAAAAAATAATCTCCGGTAATATTTTAATGCTTTACCTCCTACTTTTTCTTACCCGTGCATACTCTAGTTGTCTATATTGCAATCTTCTACTGAGATTTGAAATTCTTAAATACACAAATCTCCATATTAGGTAGTTGGCAAGAGTCCTGGGGGGGAAAAAGACAAATATATAAAATCAGTGTGGACTGAAGAATTGGTTATTTTCCTTTATTGCTATTAGTATTATTAATGTATCATTTTTTTTTAACATATAGGCGGCATCATGTAACCCAGACCCGTGTAAAAGCTGAAAGGGATGAAGAGCAAAATGTATTAGAGGTTCGGTCACTATTAACCAAAAACCAATAAATCAGGTGCCCTAAATATAAAAGGTTTAGAAAACATAATGTAAAGCACTCTTCATTACATAATTCTGTCCTCTAACCTCTGCATTACACATAACCCCTGCACTGTCCTAAATAAAATGTAGACTGCTGTTACACACTGAACCCAGGCCAGCCAGAAGGGCAGAGTTCAAACTAACCAGCCAGGACAGAACTCAATCCAGCCTGCCAGCTAAGTAGGTTTGTCATAGCTTTGCCCAACCAACACTAAGGCCTGGTTCACACCTGGGCGTTTTACAGCGCGTTCCTACACACTATAAAACGCTCAACATGTGAAAACCAATGATTGCCTATGGGCATGGTTCCCACCTGGGTGTTTTACAGCCAGTAGGAACGCGCTGCAAAACGCCCTACGCCCAAAGAAGTACAGGAGCTTCTTTGGGACATATTTGCCGCGCGTATCCATTAGGATACAGCCGGATAGCCCTCGGAAACGCGCGTTTGTCACACATTTTTTTTACCGCGAATCGCTGTAAAAACACGCGGCAAACGCACATATTCGGTACGCCTAGGTGTGATCCCAGCCTAAGGACTGTGGACTAAGCTGCACAGAAGTGTTGTGTATTATTTGAGTGGGAGGATTTGTTCTATTTGCTGTGGCTGCTAGATTGTAATTTTGAGACAGGGGAGCAGAAGTAAGTATGCAAACTTTGTGTGATACAAACTTTGTGTGATACAATAACAAAAATTAGGAGGGGTATTCCATGGAAGGAGTGTCATGAGGAATGTGCTTTGTATATTTTATAGATTATAATTACCTTCAGAAAAGAAAAAGCACCAGGTAGATAGTGATGAAGGAAATAAATTAATTGTCGGTGTGCTGAAGTAGCTACAGCCTAAGTAAAAAAGCCTGTTCCCTTCGAGCAACTGCAGAGTGGCACCCTTGCTCTCTGTGGTCTCTCTCTGCAGAGCTCTGACATACCCTTTGCTGAGTCATGCCAATAGTTCTGCAATCAAAAAAGTTCATGCCCCCTGTTGACTGGAGAGCTCTGGCTGTCACATAGCAGGGGGCATGCCAGACCTCTGGAGAGAGATCACTGCTTCCCCATAGAGAGCATTGTTCCACTCTGCAGCTGATAGCAGGGGACAGGCTTTTCTACTTGGGTTGTAGCTGCTTTCTACAGAAAAGTAACTGTAAGACTTTGAACATTGTGTTTTTATTGCATCTGGAACACATTTAGCTGATTTAAACTGTAATTTCAGTTTGGCTTTAACCACTTGCTGACCGGGGTGTTTATACCCCCTTTCTGACCAGGCCATTTTTCAGTATTCAGCGCTGCAGTACTTTGACTGACATTTATTCTGTCATGCAATGCTGTACTGAAAATAATTTTATACCATTTTTTGGGGATAGAGCTTTCTTTTGGTGGTATTTAAACACCACTACGGGGTTTTTTTTTTTTTTTACTGTATAATAAAAAAGTACCGAAAATTTTGAAAAAAAAACCTGTTCTCCCTACGTTATGTTATAAAACATTTATTATTACCCAATTTTTTGGTAAAATATAAAAGACGGGGCCATGTCGGTTAAATAGACACCAAACATGTAAAGCGTTAAATCGCAAAAAACTACCATACTCAAAATTGGCCATAGCCGATGCTTTAAAAGCTTTTACCGCTCATCAGTTTAGTATCTAGTGACCCTAGAATTATTGCTCTCATTCCGACGTTCGCGGCGATATGTAACATGTGCAGATGTAATTGGCGTTTTCGCACGTAGGCGGGCTTGACGCATGTTTGCGTGTGCGTGTGGGGGACTTAATTTTTTTTTTTTTAGTGCTTTGATATGTGATTTTAATTTTTTTTGTAACAATTTTTTTTAAACCTTTTTTTCCACTGAACCTTATTGCTATCACATAGGGAGCAAGCAAGCTCCCTATGTGATAGTCCCCCAGACACCTGCTTCACCAGCTTCTCTCCGGTTTCTGTACCGGAGAGTGACACTGCATGCAGAAGAGGAGATCAAACGGAGCTTGTGTACTGAGCTCCGTTCGATCTTCGGCCGCAGAGCTGCTGTGCTGGTCCCGGGCTCACACCGGGAACAGCGGAGCCCGGGATCGCCAGCAGCGGCAGTGACGGAGGGGGGGCCCGCACACCCGACCGGATATTACAAACGATCGGGCGTCTCTACAGACGCCCGGACGCTTGTATGTAAACAGCCATCGCTGGCTGTTTACATTCAAAGCCGGTTTCCCGCTCGTGCCCGCCGCCTAGTGGCGGGCAATAGCGGAACGGGATAGGACGTCTAAAGACTCCCACCTGCCCTCAAGAAGCCGCTGTCTGGCCATTTAATTACAACGGCCGGACAGCAGGTAGTTAAATTATAGCTTTCTTACAGGCGTTTATGAATAGGACCCTTCTAATTGGTGTTGCTGTGTTACAGTATGTTAAAGCTGAATCCCAGGCAAGCAGCTGAATACACAGATTAAATAAATGTATGAGTGTTGTTTATTCTACAGCTGTGCCACACAGCTTAGCACAGGGCAGAAGACTTGACTACAAGTCAATTAGTTACTATGTTGTGGATAAGAAGACATGGGAGTGGTTGAGTAGCTTGTCAAGGGACAATGAGCAAGGCTGACACCACTCAGTCCACAAAAAAGCTGTGTGTTGTCAGCCCACAATAGGAAATTAATAGGAAAGTGCAATTCTGGCAGACCAACTGATATTGTCTGTACTTACAGGGCTTCAAAGCAACAAACATGTTCAAGTGTGCATCTATGGCAGAGATGTAGCACATGTGTGTATTTTAATTTTGCCTTGACATACACTTAAGATATAATATGCAATAGTACTGTCGCACATTTGTTTTCACTCCCCACTAATACTCAAATAATTCATAACAACTAAATATGTGCCAATAATTTTAGGACACTTTCCACAAAGGGTTCTGTAGAATTCTCTGTAGCTGGTAAATACTGATTATACAAATTATTGACCATAAAATGACCCACCACCATATATAGAAAACACTTATTACAGAAATGACTCAGTGAAATGTGTGCGTAAATGTGAAAATATGCTCATGGATGCAGCAAGGGCAAACAGTAAGGAAAGGTGAAAAGCAAGTCCCAACAGATAGTGCTATTTTTTATTGTGTTTTATCCCCTGAATGGCTGGAGCAGCATATACTGTTAAAGGAAAGAATTCAGCACTTCACAGGAATTCCTCTAATCCTAAATGAAATGTCTTGAATTACTGTGAAACACATTGAATTGACATCTGACGAGATTGTGAATTTCCATTAATCTCCAGCTACTGCTAAGTGTCCTATATCCAATACCTCTTAGAGCTGTCACAAGCTACCAATCATAAATTGTTCAAGGGAGCTTGGTTGTGCTTGCCACAAAAAGAGCTTTATATCATGTAGACACCCTTTTTGTGTGCAATGAGATCTATTATTATAAAATAAAAAAACAAGCTCTGCCATGAAAAAAGTAATACACAGCAGGGGAGAAAACCACTAAAGTATCACACAAACACTTTTACCCAAAAATTAGCATAATAAACTTTCATTAATACTGTAGACTTTACAATGTTTTAAGTATAATTTAGGTAATATAATGAATGGAGTCAGCTGGATCTTAAAGTGACACTAAACTCGAAAGTTAAATCTTAAAAATGCATTCAGGTACCTTAACTATTAACAAAAATGTATCTTATTTGTGTATCACTCAGCTGTAGATCCCCAACTCATCTCTGAATTCATGCTGACACTGTTCTCCTTCTGGAGGTTGACTACATTTATTTACCATGAGCCCTGTGTGTTGTAAAGTAGCCACCACTCCAATCTCACTTCTGGGATGGACTACAATCTTACATTTAGTTTACTAATTTGTATTGAAATGATAGTCTATCATGGGAGTGAGCTTGAAGTGGTGGTTACTTTACAACACACACAAGAACCATGGGGAAGTAGCCACCCTGCAAAAGAAAGGACAGTGTCCGCACCAATTCAGAGATGGTTTGAGGATCTACATCCAAGTGATACGCAAATAAGGTACATTTTTGTTAATAGTTAGGGTACTTGAATGCATTTTTAAGGTTTAACTCCAAATTATGTATGCCCATGGAGCAGACACCAAACATTTAAGCCTGAAGATGAACAGGGCAGCCAAGAAATTATCCAAGTAGTCAACAGTGGCAGCTTCAATATTTCTATCATGATTGATTCACATTTACCAAACTGTATGAAAAATGTGCAGACAAGCATGTATGTTAAGATCAAGTTAAATTTAAGCTTGCACTAAAATGCATATACCAGTTTGTTAAACTTGCTACATGAATGCTCTGGAAGCCAGTGGCTGCCCATTGTGATTGGGTCTATGGGAGGCAAGAGGGGCAGGCCATCCATTAAATACACCAGGAAGTGTTGAAATTCATATATTTGAGAGCATAAGGGTTTAGAGGCTCCCATGATGCAGTTGAAAACATTTGAGGGTACCTGCAAAGCCTATATTTTAATTATGCAATCTAGCCCTTCTCATCCTTCTTTAACCAAATTATGTTCAGGTTTCAGGGAGCCCCTGTCAAAAATCAATATATCTATAAATCACAAAATCAGTACGTTGTAGATATAAGGATACATAAAGAATGAAAGAATGTGGCATACATGGCATATTTGAAACCCAGATCAGTACATCTTTTTTATTATTCTCTTCTGTTTGACAGAATTATTTACTGTAATAACCCAAAAAATTAAACAGGTATTAATACTGGCCAAAGAATAAAGGTAGACAATAAAAATTGCATTGTGCTTTAAAGTAGGAAATCACCATAGAATTCCTCTATGAACATTAAACAGCCATATAACACATGAACCTTGATAAATTACTTCTGTCAGTGCTCTGATTGTCCAGCAATCAGCATTGAAAACTGACAGGCATTTAAACACCACCCTAATTCTAGGGTGAAGTTCTATGTTAACATTGGTAATCAGTTGAAAAGTCCCTGCATGCATAGTTGTTCAATGAAGAGTTCCTTTACAATGGTGGTCAGTGGGAGAAGTGCCCTATTAGATTAATAGTCAAAAAAGAGAGGTGACCCCTAGACGAGTGGTCATAGTGAGGAAGGTGGTAAAGTGGAAACAGTGTCCCCTTTCATCAATGATCACTAATCCCACACTGGCGAGTGACGTTGGCGCCAAAACGTCAGGCAAAAGATAAATCCACCACTTCCCACTGCTCAATAAACCCTAGCAACTTCTGGAGGTACTCTAGGGTGCCTCAGAACCCTGGTTGATAAAGGTGGATGTAATCAGTTTAGCATGTCTGACTAACTGCATGGTGTACTTTAACAAGTGAATTCTTGATATTATTTTCTACTAAATAAGGAAAACATACCTCTTGTCTTCAGATTCTAGTATCTTAAACAACTCTTTAAAATATTCTGGTACTCGAACAATCACATTTTCTGATGAGTCAATATATTTAAGATGTGGATGCAGCTTAAAGTCAATGACTTTCTTCAAGTAGCTTAACCAATCAAACTAAAAAAAAAAAAAAACGTCAGGCAATTAACCCAAGTTTCATTTAAAGGCATTTTTTACAAACTATGCTTTTTGCCATGCGATAGTGAAACACACTACCATTTCATTGATATTGTGTTTACTTTACCTTCCTTAAAGTGACACTAAACTCAGGAGTTAAATCTTAAAAATACATTCAAATACCTTGACTATTAACAATAATGTATCCTATTTGTGTATCACTCGGCTGTGGATCCTCAAATCATTTCTGAATTGGTGCTGCCACTGCCCTTCCTTCTGGAGGGTGGTACTACAATCTCATGTTTAGTTTACAAATTTTTATTGAGATTGTAGTCCATCAAAGGAGTGAGCTTGGAGCAGTGGCTACTTTACAACACACACAGGGACTAGGGGGAACAAAAGTAGCCACCCTCCAGAAGGAAGTGTCAGCACCAATTCAGAGATGATTTAAAGAATGAAATTCATTCATTCAAGTCATTTTGACCTTTTATTTTGACTTCCCAAGTTAAGTTCTTCTAAAAGAATTAACAGTAATTTTAAAAGTCCATTGTCCAATAGCCTTAGGTACGGGTGGCAGATGGCTTATCTGTGGTGCCCCAACAACCTCACTACAGTTGGTGCATGTACTAATGTTCTAGAATTTACTGTTTTTGTGGGGAGCTGATGTCGGTGAGTCTGTGTGATGTAATATTTTTGGCACTGTGACTCCCCGCTGGAGAGATTCTGCCTCTCTATTTCTTCTGACAACCATCGTCATAGAAATAGATAGTAAGGAGAATTCTAAAGATTAAAGTTGTCATTAGGCCAATAAGGGAGGTCAAAACTGCCATTGGGGACAAATGTTCTGGGGACAACTGTCTAATATGGTAATTCCCCTAATTTACGGGAGATCCCCTCTCACTTCCTGCTCCATTCGCAAGACGGGAATTGAAGGGAAATCTCCCCAGCAGGGCACATATAGCGAAAATTAACCTGAAGTTTTGATTCTCCCCTAATCTTTCCAAAACTTAAAGTGTAACTCCACTCCACATTAAAGATTCCTAACTTTTTTCTGTACCGAAGAAAAAGTTGTTTGTCCTTACCAAATTGATTCCTGAATGGGAGGGTCTAGGTTAATTATTACCACCTGGTGGACTTTCAGTGTTCTCATGAGAAAAGCTGTAGTGTCTGCATCCTTTCAGAGGTAGTTTGCCCTAAAATCTGATCTCTTATCCGGACTTTCTTCTATCTTGGGGTCCAGTGCTTCACAAACAGACTTTTCTGTCATATTTACCTTGGCGTTCAATGTATAAATGCACTTGCCCTAGTCCTTGAGCACTTACTGTATATTGTCACAGAATAACTCAATGATCGCCTATATTTGTAATTGACATTAAAAAAATAAATTAAAAATGACATATAGAAACAAACCTGTGGAATCATAGCATTCAATTCTGAGATGTTCATTTTATTGTACATAGATTCACTTGTCCTGTTTTCATGAGGTACGGTTATCTGGAAAAAAAGGCCAAATGTCAAAAATAAACATGTTATAAAATAACAATAATATTCCTTATAAAGGTAGTATTGTAGCAAAGTGCCCCTTTACACACTATACCCAGAGGCCCTTTTAACTGCCTGGACTGCTGGACACACCCAGGGCATATAAGTTTCCCTGCTTCCCACCCCCAGGCGCTGAGAGAGACTGCGCCTGATGGGACAGTACTGGGTGGACATGTCAGCTGTCACCACCCAGGTGGGGGTCCTCCGCCACTGTTGGGCCACCAGCTGAGAGCACAAGACCACGCAGCTTCTACTTAAACATTAATCAGTGTGGAGAGCCCTGTGTCTGCAACCCCTGGGATACTTTGTCTCTAATGGGGTGGCCCTGTTTCTACGGCCATACTCCTACATGCCAGCCCTTGTGGCTACTCCAGCCTTTGGTTGATGACCTTGTAACAGCCATCCCTTACATCACCCTCGTGAGATACCAGACTGACCCTGCTCTGGGAGAGGGATGGAGTCAGAAGTGATCACATGCAAGTGATTGAACGGAACCATTTATGTCTTAGTGCTCCTTACATTCATTCTGTGCTAAGCAACTGTACTGCACTGTTAATTATAAAATGAGTCCCCCTCATACTTTGTACTCTAGGAAACTGCTATTCTGTACTGTGCTGCCACCTAGCTGCCATTGCGGGAAACTACACTTAGGCAGCTATGTTACTGTAATTGTTGCATTGCCTTGTAAAGCTTATGATTATTTCGTACCTCTTTACCATTTTATCATTTTATTAGCATTGTCCATTTACTTTGCATTCATTTAGTAATTTATTTATTAAACAATA